GATACTAAGTGCAAGAAAACACGAGAAAAGAAGAGAAGACAATAAAAGAACAATAGTTGGAAAGACAAGATAACGATTGACATTGCATTTATATTTTTGCGAAACCGAAAGAGAGTTTCACAAGTAAAAATACGTGCGATAGAAAAAAACTGTTAGCATCAAAGTCACGGTTTCATCTAGCCATTTTAACTGTAAAATGATGAGATCTTGCTGACAAGCTAATACAGCGCTTAAATTCATAAAGTCTAGGCACCAAAGAAAGTTCCTCAGAATAATTATCATGAAAGCATTTATAGAAAAGGCTCAGGGAAGCTCAGTTACACCCAGAATTAATGATTGTCTGTAAAGCTCGGCCGTTAATGATTACTTCGCTGGTGACGCCATCTTTTTTCACAATAAACATAGACGATAAAACAGCTAGTGAATTAATAAAAATGTTTCAGTCTTCTATTCCCGACCCGACATAAAACCCGGGAGCAATGTGGATTGAGCGTCTAAATTAATCACTGACGCGTGTTTGTTGATAATTTCCTACACGGTGATGCGCGCTTGTTCGACTAATCTGCGGACAAAACAGCAAATGATATAATACAGGGTGCGGCTGGTATTTGAGAACAGATTTTATGGATTAGTAAAAAACTTGCTGAACAAATGAATATAATTATATTTGATTACAAACAAGTAAACATGAAATTTAGCTAACTATTATTTAATTTTATTCAATAAAACCACCACTAGCATCAAATAACTGCCTCTACACGAGATCAAAATCATCTGCAAGCTCTGATTAATTGGTCTTTATTTATATGAGACATTACTCGAACTATTGCAGCTAGAAGAGAGTCCTTGGTATTATGTGGCTGTTTATTAACCTCCTTCTCAACAACACTCCACACATAATAGTCTAGTGGATTGAGATCTGGAGAGTTAGGAGACTAAATGTTGGGTGTAATGTGGTCGTACAAATGGTCAGCCATCCATTCTTATGTTCGTAGAGCCTTGTGGGATGGAGCCGAGTCTTGCTGGAATATGTAAGGCCTGCCGTTGCATATGTTGCCAATCCAGGGCTTGACAACTATTTCTAGAACCTCAATGTAAGAATCAACATATACTCTAAGACCTTGTGGAAAAAGGTGTGGTGGCATATGTCCTTCGTTGTTAATAACACCCAATACCATAACACTTGATGGAAATTTTGTGCACCTCACTCTTGGCACCTCAGAAGGATCTGAACGAAGCCCTCTGTCATTTTTTCTGTTAAGTTTTTGATCTTGAACTCACACTAGCTTCTTAAGTTTGTTCAAAAGCCTTTTGGATCTGTTTAAACGGTTTTCTTTTGTTTTGTTTTTTGTTTTTTTTTACAGACATAAATTGACCTTTCTTCATCACGTAGAAATTGTATCGAATGTCTTCATGAACATTCCTTCTGATTGTTTTTTTCAGACACATGCAGCTTTTTGGCAATTGACCTCATTGATTGACCTCGGTTTTCATCAATTGTCTGCTTGACTTTCTGAATAAATTTGGATGCTCTCACTTTATCAGAACGTACAGAATGTCTTTTACGGTTTGATACAGGCATCGGAGAACTCTCAGCGTCTTCTCTTTTCGCATCTTGTGGACAAACGATCTTGCAACTTTGAGGAAACGCGCAATATCCAAATCGCTATGATCAGCCTTTAAAACCAAAATCACAGCATGCCTTTTCATTTCATTTGTTATCATAAGGTTTGCCATTCTTGATTTCTGAAAAATAAAAGCATTAGAAGTTAGTGGGAAGCAGTGTTAATCTTAAATCTGTATGTCCTCAAATACCAGCCGCACCCTGTATATCTCTTCTTGTCGCAACATCCACCGAAACGACTTGTCCAGATACCCAGCGTAGACTAACCTCCAAAAATTAATAATGATCAAGGCTGGTTTTTGTCAACTGCCTCCACGGAAAAGAGACATCTACTGCCAAAACAACCAATGAATTAATAAAATACATCTGTTCAAGAAACTGAACAGAACCGCCTGTAATGATTGAACTAAAATATTAATGATACTGCAAAGTTTACATATTGCCTATTACTTTCATAGTAAACTGTACTAGCTGGCAAAACTCAATTAAGAATCAGCCTACACAATACGATACACCTGGATTGATAATTTACTAATATAAGCTTATTTCAGTAAAAGGTCATTAGCGTAGTCAATCACTGAATTAAAAAAATTGTCTGTAAGTTTCGGTAGTTGGCAATGGCTTTCTTGTGGAAACGCCTTGTTTCAGTAAATATGTGTTGCTCAAACGACCAATGAATTAATGGAATCAATCAATTACCATTGTGTAACACAGCCAAATGAGTATGTAGTCAGTGAGGATTGAATTCCCGGAATTAGTAATGGTCTGTGAGTTTTGCTTGTTGTCCCAGTTGACGTGCCATTGATCTAATAAAAAAGAAACGATTGGTAAAACAACAAATGAAGTAACTGAAAATAACTATCCACAATCCAGTGTAGATACGCACTGCAAATTACTAGTGGACTGTAAGAAATGTTTGTTACCGATTCCTTTTTCGGTGAATCACCAGCGATCCAATAAACTTTTGCGAATATTATATATATATATATATATATATATAGAAAGATAGATAGATAGATTACCAATTGAGAATATACGGGGTAAAGTGATAGATAGAAACGGACGGAGATAGATAGATAGATAGATAGATAGATAGATAGATAGATAGATAGATAGATAGATAGAGAGATAGATGTTAATAGTCATAGATATGAATTGTCATAGATAAGACACACAGATACGAATAGCCATAGATGGATGGATAGATAGACACACAGATATGAATAGACATAAATATGATTTGTCATAGATAGATAGATATGAATAGTCATAGATAGATATGAATAATCATAGATAGATAGACACAGAGATATGAATACTCATAGATAGATATGAATTTTCAGATAGATGGATAGACAGATAGACACACAGATATGAATAGCCACAGATAGATATGAATTGTCATAGATAGATAGATAGAGATAGACAGATAAATAAATATGAATAGTCATAGATAGATATGAATTGTTATAGATAGATAGATAGATAGATAGATAGATATGAATATTCATAGGTAGATATGAATTGTTATAGATAGATAGATAGATAGATAGATATGAATAGTCATAGGGAGATATGAATTGTGATAGATAGATAGATAGATAGATATGAATAGTCATAGGGAGATATAAATTGTGATAGATAGATAGATAGATATGAATAGTCATAGGGAGATATACATTGTGATAGATAGATAGATAGATATGAATTGTGATAGATAGATAGATTAGATAGATATGAATTGTTATAGATAGATTAGATAGATAGATTAGATAGATATGAATTGTTATAGATAGATTAGATAGATAGATTAGATAGATATGAATTGTTATAGATAGATAGATTAGATACATAGATAGATAGATATGAATTGTTATAGATAGATAGATAGATAGATATGAATTGTTATAGATAGATAGATTAGATAGATAGATAGATGTGAATTGTTAGAGAAAGGTAGATTTGATAGATAGATAGATAGATAGATATGAATTGTTATAGATAGATAGATAGATATGAATATTCATAGGTAGATATGAATTGTTATAGATAGATAGATAGATATGAATATTCATAGGTAGATATGAATAGTCATAGGGAGATATGAATTGTGATAGATAGATAGATAGATAGATATGAATAGTCATAGGTAGATATGAATTGTGATAGATAGATAGATAGATAGATAGATATGAATAGTCATAGGTAGATATGAATTGTGATAGATAGATAGATAGATATGATTTGTGATAGATAGATTAGATAGATATGAATTGTTATAGATAGATAGATTAGATAGACAGAATAGATAGATAGATAGATATGAATTGTTATAGATAGATAGATTAGATAGATAGATTAGATAGATAGATAGATATGAATTGTTATAGATAGATAGATAGATAGATAGATATGAATTCTTATAGATAGTTAGATTAGATAGATAGATATGAATTCTTATAGATAGTTAGATTAGATAGATAGATATGAATTCTTATAGATAGTTAGATTAGATAGATATGAATTGTTATAGATAGATAGATTAGATAGATAGATAGATATGAATTGTTATAGATAGATAGATTAGATAGATAGATAGATATGAATTGTTATAGATAGATAGATTAGATAGATAGATAGATATGAATTGTTAGAGATAGATAGATTTGATAGATAGATAGATAGATAGATATGAATTGTTATAGATAGATAGATAGATATGAATATTCATAGGTAGATATGAATTTTTATAGAAAGATAGATTAGATAGATATGAATTAGATAGATAGATAGATAGATAGATATGAATAGTCATAGGTAGATATGAATTGTGATAGATAGATAGATTAGATAGATATGAATTGTTATAGATAGATAGATTAGATAGATAGATTAGATAGATATGAATTGTTATAGATAGATAGATTAGATAGATAGATAGATATGAATTGTTATAGATAGATTAGATACATAGATAGATAGATAGATAGATATGAATTGTTATAGATAGATAGATTAGATAGATAGATAGATAGATATGAATTGTTATAGATAGATAGATAGATATGAATTGTTATAGATAGATAGATTAGATAGATAGATAGATATGAATTGTTAGAGATAGATAGATTTGATAGATAGATAGATAGATAGATAGATATGAATTGTTATAGATAGATAGATAGATAGATATGAATTGTTATAGATAGATAGATAGATAGATATGAATTGTTATAGATAGATAGATAGATAGATAGATATGAATTGTTATAGATAGATTAGATACATAGATAGATAGATAGATAGATATGAATTGTTATAGATAGATAGATTAGATAGATAGATAGATAGATATGAATTGTTATAGATAGATAGATTAGATAGATAGATAGATATGAATTGTTAGAGATAGATAGATTTGATAGATAGATAGATAGATAGATAGATATGAATTGTTATAGATAGATAGATAGATAGATAGATATGAATTGTTATAGATAGATAGATAGATAGATAGATATGAATTGTTATAGATAGATAGATAGATAGATAGATAGATATGAATTGTTAGAGATAGATACATTAGATAGATAGATACATATGAATAGTCTTAGATGCGAGTAGTCAGAGAAAAAAGAAAGAAAAACTAAATTTGTTAGGCCTTTTCAATGGGATTTTGTTTTGGGTATTGTTAAAACTAAATATAGTCGCCTCGGCTCCCCGATTAACAATTTCGAATCATTATCAATTACACCATCCGCACACCTAAATTTACAGTATCTGCTATTTCCAAGCGGTCATTCATCTAGGTACTGGCCAGGCTTGGCGTTACTTAGCTACGCTGATCGCACGGGAACCGGTATTTCAACGTGATGTGGCCGTAAGCCCTCAAGGTAAGAGAGTTCTGTCATCCCTACTATTTAATCTATAGTTTCAAATCACGCACATCCCATTAATATTCCAGCTGTACGGAGGAAATTAAACTCAGATGACTCTCAGCCAAGTATAACTAATAATAAATACTGCTATCATTTCTGGGTTTGAACTGCCCAAAATTCACTCTACAGCCTCGATAGAGTGCAAAGTCGTTTACGCCGTCTTGTGGGGTCAGGTTTATACACGAGCAAGCAGCTTTTTGATTTAGAGTTTTCCCAAGAGTATTAGTGAGGGATTGAACGCAACGAACTCGGCTAGAATTCAAACCCGCATTGACGTTTTCTTTCAGCTAAACGTTACACTCCCGCCATATCGACGACATACCTCTACAGGCCCTTACTCTCGAATACAGTACAAAATTTGTCTAAATAAATTTGAAAAAATAAATAAATAAATAAATAAACGGAGAAAAGATCTAAAAAGATAAATAAAATGACAAAATGGAATGGCTGAAAAGATCAATTTTAAGGTCAACTTGTTCAGAGGAACATTAGAATAGTGCTGAACGAGTTATATGCGGCTTGTTCAAACGGGGAATCAGTTTATCTGATCGACTGATCAGTTTTAAAGGCTTTTGAACAGCCATAGATGTGCATTGACACTGCGTTAATGTATTCAGTTAAATAAAGTTGTGTAACTGCCGCGGGTTGGTTGCAAAACATCCGTACAACTAACATTCGTTCGTCGGTAGTGTCGTTTGGTTTGATTTCAGGCAAATTGAACAACGCGTAGTTGTGTGAGAAAAGCGAAAGATTACTGTGCAGTAAGAAAAAAAAAAGGAAATACAATATAAAATTAATGGTAACACTTATATGCGTAAACACTTGTTCAAATTATATATAAATTTAGATAGATAGATTGCTTAGGGATACTTTTAGTTTACACCATCTAAACTTATATTTTGCCTTATCTATCTATCTATCTATCTATCTATCTATCTATCTATACACTTATGTAAATATATGTCTTATGTGTCTATATATGTTTCATATAGACACATTTAAATAGATAGATAGATAGATAGATAGATAGATAGATAGATAGATGGATATGCGCTGAAACATTACCGAAATACACACATATATAGAGATAGATATGCGCTGAAACATAGCTGAGATAGATAGATAGATAGATAGATAGATAGATAGATAGATAGATAGATATGCGCTGAAACATAGCTGAGATAGATAGATAGATAGATAGATAGATAGATATGCTCTGAAACATTATTGAAATACATAGATAGATAGGTAGATATGCGCTGAAACATTACTTAGATAGATAGATAGATAGATAGATAGATATGCGCTGAGACATTACTGAAATACACATATATATAGATAGGTATACGCTGAAACATTACTGAAATAGATAGATAGATAGATAGATAGATAGATATGCGCTGAGACGTTACTGAAATACACACATATATAGAGATAGATATACGCTGAGACATTACTGAAATAAACAGATAGATAGATAAATAGATATGCGCTGAGACATTACTGAAATAGATAGATAGATAGATAGAGAGATATGCGCTGAAACATTACTGAAATAGATAGATAGATAGATAGATAGATATGCGCTGAAACATTACTGAAATAGATAGATAGATAGATAGATAGATAGATAGATAGATAGATATTTTTATCGGAACGCTACGTAAAGCTGCCAAGACTTCAATCAAAGCATTAATAAAACCTTACTGATGAGTTCCTAATAGAAAATCCAAGAAGGCAATGGGATTTCGATTACACACCGCCGTTGGAAATCCAAACGAAAAGAAACTTGTTTTTGTCCACTGTTATAAAATTTTAATATATAAAGTCCTTTAAAGTCTGAAAAGAGCTTTTTGTCGGTTCCCAATTTTTCTTCCTAAATGAATTACTTAGAGAAATTACAAAACAAGATGAACAAGAAAGAAGGCTTGGAAAATGTGACAAATATGGAAGATAAGATAATATGGAAGGCCTGACGCACAGAGGAAAACGGCGCATAAGCTATCTCATAAGCTTGGGTACATTGTTAGCAGAACAGAGGTCTGTAGATGGAGCAAAACAAGAAACATTGCTGAGTGCTACAAAGCAAGGGAAATTGTGAAGAACCATTAACGCCTACGCCCTGGTGGGTCACAGCAAATAAAACGAGAAATAATAATCAATGTAGGAGAAGGAAAATCCTATAATGCTAAACTTCCAAATAAGTGGAATGTCTATTGGGTCTGATGTTCAGCTCAGACCTCAAATGGAACTCATATATAAAATTGCTAAAGACCCTGATAAAATATTCGACTTATTCTACTGTTGGAAAATGAATCCTTCATCTTTAAAAGATCTCAGATTAGACAAAAAAATGTACTGCTACCATTTCTGGTGTTGAACTGCTTTCAGTGTGAAAACTGGCATTCAGTATGATAGATGTTGACACCAAAAAAATAGACATATAAGTTTTACCAATATTTAAGCATTTAGTATTAAAGATCGACTGAAAAAATGTGAAGAAATAGCTAATTCCCTCAGGTCTTTGTTTACAAACCGACTGTAGAATTTTAATATTTTAAGAATGAATCCAAATAAAGTTGATATCTTTTGTATTAGATACATTGAACAGAAAATATATACAAACCAGAATTCTAATTATGAATCGACACATGCGAAATAAGCATTTCTACTGCATTCAGTAAGTAAAAAAAATGTGTAAAAAATTGTAAAAGATTACTCTTATATACCGTACCTGTGAACACTAATGGGTATGTCCAAATCTTCTTAAATACAATTAGACACTATTGTAACTGGGTATAATATGCTGTCTAAGTAATTCATCACTGGCAGTGGTTTACCTACTTCACGCCGCTGGCGAGTATTCTATTCGACTGATGTTACAAAGATTACCATTTCATTTCCAACCTCCGTTTTGGTTCATCCTCATTCGGTAACCTTTTCTAGGTTACAATATTTTGGCGACAAGGATGAGATATTGACGCCGTGTAGGGTAAATCTAAAAAAAGCGTGGTGTTGTATACAGTACCTATGAACACTAACGGGTATGTACCAATCCTCATAAATAAGTTGGACACTATTGTAAGTGGGGGTAAGATGCTGTCTAAGAAGTCCACCTCTAGCAGTGGTTTACCTACATCACGTCGCTGACGAGTATTGTATTTTGGTGATGTTATAAAGATTACCATTTCATTTCCAACCTCCGTGTTGGTTATTCCTCATTCAGTAACCTTTTCTAGGTTACAACACTTACAAAAAGGCTAAGCAATGAATAACATTTGTCAGATAATTTGATAGATCATAATTAATAAAAACAAAAAATAGATAAAAGTGCAGATAACACTGTAATACTGCTGGATACATATTGTAAAAAATGAGGTCACATATTATAAAATGGACAAAGTCCGACAATTATTTTAAGACATTTTTTATGTTTATACATTCTTTTTATAGATACAAATATTTAGGTAAATACTGTTTATAATAAACAGTATTAAACGAAATTTTCATAGAAAATATTCGTCCTCCGACAGAATTCGAACCTGTATCCTATACGGAACCGTCATATAGCCTGACGTGCCTTTAACCGATTCGGCCACAGAGGATCGTTCTTGCTGGTAAGGGCAAATTTACTGCTTTTAAACTTCAATCATCCATGAATCTCTCACGTACATTCATATCTGCTCATGGCGTATCAAATGTAAACAAATGACGTCACACATTATGAAATAGACAATTCCGACAATTATTTTAAGACATTTTTATGCTTATACATTCTTTTTATAGATACAAATATTTAAGTAAATGCTCTGTTTATAATAAACAGTATTAAACAACATTTACCGCTAAATGTCGGAGGACGAATATTTTCTATGAAAATTTCTCGGACATTCAGGCCGGTAAATGTTGTTTAATACTGTTTATTATAAACAGAGCATTTACTTAAATATTTGTACCTATAAAAAGAATGTATAAACATAAAATGTCTTAAAATAATTGTAAGAAATGTTTTAAATTAGCATTGTTTATTGAAAATCCCACTAAAACTACTGCACTGTATAACCTATTACATAATATATTAGGTTGGTGCAAAAATAATGACAATAATAATGTCGTTTTTTGACGTTAAAAATACGTCAAAAAACGACATTGTTACGTCATTATTTTTGCACCAACCTAATAGCTAAATTGTTGAGTATAATTTCCCTTTGAATTAAATGAAGGTCTTATTTGATGGCACAATGATTTATCAATAATGTGCTTGTGCCATGCATCTTGTCCATAGACAATATGTAAAGGTTCTGCAAATTTTATAAGACTGTGCTATAAGTCTTTCACTGATCACCAGATTGTTATTACAACACTACGACTTTTAACCTAAACTTAATCTTTAAACTCGAATAACGGAAAGAATTTGAAAGAATATATTTTGGCTCATTATTTCTCATGTCACACCCAAACTTTCAATTTGACAAGGGTTCCAAAATCTTAATATCACATACAGCTCTATCTTGAATAGTTCTTGACTTTTATTGGCAAATTCAAGAAAAGAGTACTTGTTGCTTAGTCTTTGATTGTACTATGCTTGAATTTGGTTTTGTGGAATCGTACATGCTTAAGATGAAGAAAATATGTAGTTATTCTGTTATTCTTCCTTTTCCGATTCTGTATTCCATATTTATTTTACTGCCTATTATTATTAGAGTTATTCTTTAGGTCTTTCGTTATGATTATTTGATTGCCAATTTTTGCGACCTTTGTTTTCTCAATCGATGGTAGCGCTGGCGTTGTGCTTTGTGTTAGACAAATATTTGTAATCTTGTGAAACATATAGATTTAAAATGAATGCTTTCTTATATTAAGAATTAAAATATATCTATACTCTAATACAAAATATTACATAATTCCTCCGTGATTATTAGAGTTTATTATCATTTTATTCGAGTTATTCTGAAGTCTATACATTAAAGTTTGAATGTTGAATTTCTTCGTATGTTCTTACTTTAATTTTCGTTATCCTTACCCGGGACAGAAGTTAACCATTAGACAATGAGTGTTTACTAAGGCGTGGTTATCGCCCCACTATCCTGTGCTGTAAGTGAAGCTATGATTCTCCTCATTTTAGATAGGTGAATTCACCCAGACCCGGGGATTCCAACCCTGCGATAGCATCTTCCTCGTTACATTAAAGAGATTGGGTCGTTGCCAGCGTTACTGTGCTGGCGGGGGCTGCACGAAAAAACAGTTTTCGTCCTTGGCCCATATGCATAAGTATACATATGGCGTTCCCCACATTAAACACACCTTGTATCACATCCAGCCTTGGTACGGAGGCGGGTAATATATCTACTTTTATTCTCGTTTTTCGATTCTTAATGAAAGCAAATTGCCTGCATACGGGTGGAAAATGAATTGAAGTAATACGCAAAAATAAAAAGGTACATAAGACAATGAAACATCATCTCACCGGATTCATTTCACTTAAACAGTGAGGCTGTCCTAAAAAAACTTGAATTCCTACAACTATTTATTATTAGTGGGAATAATCTAAACAACATAGGATACGCAGATGATTCTGTGTTAATGGAAATACAGAATAAAAAATTACAGGACCTCCTAGACATGTAGGCAGCAAAGGAAAGTGGGAAGAAAGGACTAACTATCGATTGCAAGAAGACGTATATTATGGTTCTCAGTAACAGGAACAGCTCAACATGCGAGCTACAACTTAGATTTATCACAATCAAGCAAATGCACAAATTTAAATATCTGGGATATTTTATGGCTCTCCACAATTTCTTATCTTTTGTTGCCCTTAGTAAAGTCTGTTTATATTTCTAAGATCAGGTATTGTAATTACTTACACCATTTACAATGGCCCAGTGGATAAAATCGTTAGTTAGTATAATACAGTGACTAGACCCCAAAAAGTTGTGAATGCTATACCTGGCTACAGCAGAGGTGAAGGAAAACTTGGAAAGTTAAAGGGAAATAACTGATGCTGAGATATCCGGAAGAGGCATGGCACGTGGAACTAGAACAATCTACCCTGGTGGACGAAATAAAGGCTTCGGTTCGTAATTCCAATCACCTGAAGAAGGCTGGAGCGTCCAACGGCCGAAATGTTGTATGAATATGGCAACAAAGATAAATATAACGGCCCGAATATTGTAAATAGTTTAGATATAGTTAGTAAAGTTTTGTTTTGTTTCTTTTTTATCTCGCCGGAAGCTTGTCCCGATATCCAGTTACGTTAGCTCGTTACGTAGGTTTTGATTGTTTTTTTTTCTCTATCTCTTTTACCTTCAATATGTCATGTAAGTGTTACATTTTCCAAACCCTCTTTCTTCATTATGTGTACGAGGAATTTCAAGTGTCTCTTTCTAATGCTACGTATGTGTCCATTTTGCTATCATTTTCTCTATTACTTCGTCGTTGCTCCCATGTTCGCTCAGCATGGCATTCTCACCTTTTTTTTTTTTTCGTAGAAAATTGCTTCAAGCCTCTTCTTCAACTATGAGGTGATTTTCCAACATTCACTACCACTACTGTTATTTGCATAATTGTCCAGTTCTCATTTCTTTATTTCTAACGAATTTTTTCCGTTTCATGATACTTTGCTTAGCATTTGGAAGGCAACATTGGCTACCTCAATGCGCCTTCAGATTTCAGCGTTGTACTTTCTGTTCGCTGTTAAAACTTTACCGAAATCATTAAACTGTTAAATCGAAGCGGAATAAGGCTGATTGTTTTATATTTCTCAGTTATTCGTTTTTCTTATTTATTTAATTGGAGAAATGAAATTTTTAAATTTACAGTTCCTGGAAATGTTTTCGAAATTGATGGAACAATTTGATGTTAGGCGCAAGTATAATACAGGATTTACGTGTGAGCAATAATGGACTTTTGAAGGAATTGTAAGAAACTTGGAATAATTCATTTGCTTCATTGAGTTTGTTTTTTTTTATCGGTCGCTCGCGACTCTCGAATAAATAATTCATAGACGCACCCATTTAGGGTCAACCGTAATAAATGATGGCTCACCAGACAGGGCCAATCCGATTACGATCACAAAATGACGATACATGAAGAAAATATTGCCGGAATCGATGGTCCTTCTATCTTCAAACATACAATCGAAAGCAGTTGGATGCATTACAAAAAGGACATTTTCCTTCTTTTTTTTTTTTTTTTTGTTAAGAGCGAGACACATTCAAAACATTTCCTATGAATGGGAATATATTCGGGAAATGTGTTGTAATAGTTCGCAAGCTTGTCTCACTAGATCAGTTACGAATGCTTATTAAGTTCGATCCTTACTGAGTGCCCCATATTTTCAGCTTTATGTCACAACTAAGATATGCTTAGTAAATTACTAATGGGCAATTCGATGTGATGGAATGGTAAGTCCGATCCTCACTGGGTGTTCCATATTTTGTGCCTCAACTAAGCAACACTTAATCCTTTGAGCCCTGTGTTCCTGAACAATTTTAATCTTTCTTCCTGAGCTCCTGAGTCAAAATTCACAAATAATTGGTATGTAATGTTTCACGGTAGATATACAAATAGTTACAATTGTTTATCCACCATTCAACTGGTGGCTGGGCATTACGTCATTTCCTCTACCACCGGAAAAGTGGTGTTTAGGGCTCAAATGGTTAATAAACTGCCATCAATGGGAATAGATTTGTGTGTATATATTTGGAAAAAAAACACATTATAGTGTCTCTGCTATGGTTGAATATTCTTCCCTAAAGAGCATAAGAACTCATCAAAAATTGAAAGAAAATACATCTTGAAATAACAGACCTAATTGCTATAATTTCTCCGAATTTCTAAGATAAACCATTGTTATTGTTAATTTGGGGGAAAACTTGGGCCTTCGTGCGCGCAAAAAACAAAAACAGAAACGGAATATCAAAAAAACAGATTTTCCTTTGACATCGTTATTATTTGTACCCTGTTCACCGTTTCCGCAAATTTTTGTTGTTTTAAATAACGATAATTAGAATTATATTAAAATCTAATCATGTGAAAGTGTTTCCTTGTTCTTGAGAATTTACAACGAAACTATTAAACAATATTTATTTATGCGATTGTATATATACAAATATTAATATTATATTTACAACAGTTAAAATGAAATGCAATGCAATATTTATCATTTACTAGTTTATAAAGTGCGAGATATGAAAACAATTTTTTTATTTATAAATATTTACTAAATTATTAAAATATGTGAACCAACTTTAACGAAACTCTTATTATTACCATTTTATAATGTCCGAATAGAATGGTAATTAGCCAATGTTTTGACAGGATTCCAATAAATAAATTTTAATAAACAAATAGTAACTAAGTAATCTAATAAATAAATAATGTTTATTAATTTTATTGTCAAATCTCAAGAAAGAAAACAAAGTATAAATTCCCGTTGATATGTTGATGTTTTATTACAGTTCTAATCAGCGCTTTTAAATGCAATAAACATTGCCGAGGAGTGAAGGTAGTTTAAATAATAGCGGTGTCAAGGGAAAAACCATCCTTTTATCACTTCGTTTTTGTTTTGCGGACATAAAGTTCAAGTTTGCCAATTTTGGGCTATTTTTCTTTAGTCTTAATTTTCTCACTAAGCTCAAGCTGGTTAATATTCTATAATCGTTAAGTCAATAAAATGAAAATTAAATGAATAATTAGCTGCAGTAACTAGAAATTTCGACAAGAACCTTCCCCTTTTTTTCTTTTATGTACGTGGGCTCTCATGGCTCTCCACAACTTCCTTACCTGTCTAACTCTCAGTTATGTTTGTATTTTTACTATCCCTTACACTCTTGCTTCTGTCATACATTTACACAAGCTGTTTCCTCTCCCCTTCATGCCCAATGAGTGTCACATTCTCCATGTCTAATTTCCTCATTATTTGATCTAGAAATTTTAGCTGTCTCTTTTCTATTCTGTGTATAAAAGTCGCTTTAGTGCTATTTTCCTTAAAACTTCCCCGTTGGTCATAGGCATCATCCATGATAATTTCTGAATAACTTCCTGTAGAACCAACTCTCTGTTGATTAATGTCTTTTCATCACTGAAGAAATTCTTAATCATTCACTTCCTTCAGAGAAGGATTTATAATGTATAGTAGTTTAGCGCTATTTTCTTTCTTTCTTTCCAAAGAAAGTTTACTGTTGCTTATTAATTTGTATAGCTATTACAATGAAACTTCGGATTTCGTTGTCACATTTTCCGTTGTCACCTAGATTAAAAAAATAAAAGATTGAGAAAAGCTAGCGTTTTATTTAACAAGTCTCGCTTGTGCTTGTATCTTCAGTAAATAGAATTTACAATAATATCAGTATTATTCGATCTCAATGGCTCAGAATTAGGATGACATTTTTATTTTACGTCAGCTTGGTTACGTTTCAGTTAAGATTTTTCTTTTTAAATTACGTTTGGAAAAAAACGTCTTTGTGCTTTTTTTAAAAAATTAAAAAATTTTTTTTTTTTTTTTACTAATTTTCATCCAGTACGTGGCTCAAGAGCAATCCAAGGAAGAGAGTTACTATATAGTGCTGTATATTACCGTTACTGTATGGTGTTGTATATTACCGTTACTGTATAGTGTTGTACGAGTTTATGAAAGGGAAAGAGGTGAAGTTCTTTCTGACTATGCAGGAACATTTACGGCTAACTCTCGACTTTAGGAGGTCAAAATTTAATTAGTAAATAAAATTTCAGAGATCAGTCGTAAACGTTAGAAACATAGAAGTCAGATAGACTTTAGAAGGAACCCAATCCTTAACATGAAACAAGGGACAAACATCTACTCCTGTTCAAAAAAAAATAGGAGAGAAGTGTGGACGGAACCTGTCACAGATAAGGATTTAACAAAGTATGAAGAAATAATTCCTGCAGTTTGTTTCGCTGACCATTGCCCAGAATAATGTCCCATTCTGTTTCTGCTCGCCTTCAGTGGTGACCATTTTTGCACTAGGTAGTTGATTGATGAGAATCTGGATTGCAAATAGCTTCTTTTTGATGGCCCGGCCAAGAATCGACTCACAATCGATAAAAGTTTTACTATCATGAAAGGGAAAGATAGATTGCTATGAGAAAGAAAAAAAGAAAACGAGATAGAAAGAAAGTCAAAAGAAAAAAATCACGGAATGGAGAAGTAATAAGATGGGGATTTATGACAATGAATTCCTTGCAAGTCACAAGAAAAAACAACCAATAAAACAAGGAATAAAGCGAAGACTTTACGGGTATCACATTTCTATTATGTTAAATGGGATCTGCACAATAAAGGAGAATACGGATGCATCAGTAAACAATAAAATAAAAGAACAGGATAAGAATAAATACATGCTCGTCTTTTCGTATCGGTGGCCGCCATGATGACAGAGCCAACTTTAGTGGCCTTTAGTCGGGGTTTGTATTGAAGTAAAATCTGGATTTTGAGTAATATTACAGGGATGGCGCTAAACATTCTTATTCTCAACAGTCAGCAATTTCTACAAAATTTCCAATACAAACATTATCTATGTATACATGAAGTTATATTTATCTTTAGGTACAGATACTGTGAGTCCGTAAAGATAACAAAACACTATTTTTACACAACAAATACTAAATAATCTTGTATCAGGCAAATTTGCAATACAAAACTCTCTCTATATTAGATGTGTATCTCTATACTAACGCCGTGGGATATGAATATTATTAATATTCATATATATATATATATATATATATATATATATATATATATATATATATATATATATATCGTTATCCAAAGACAGACTGTTTCGCTGTATCACAGCTCATCAATGTGTTTAGACATCTGATTGCTTTTAGACGGGGCCGAAACCTGACAGATTTTGGCATCGGTCTGAGATTCTTACCCCTAGGCTATCGGCACCCGGCTGAGAGAAAAGCGAATTTTTGTGCATTTATTTTTTGTTACACACGCCAGTGACCTCGTGGACTCAGTCCGTTGGAAGTGTCTTGAATTATTAGTAGTAACACTGTTTACAAATGTCTCTCTCTCTCTCTCTCTCTCTCTCTGTATATATATATATATATATATATATATATATGTGTGTGTGTGTGTGTGTGTGTGTGTGTGTGTGTGTGTGAGAGAGAGAGAGAGAGAGAGAATAAAAAGGAAGAGGAAAACTATACTTACACTTAGCCGACGCGTTTCCTCATCCGACGGACTTTATCGAGGCAAGTGTAGTAGATTTATTTGCAACAAGTATTTTGGAGATTTATAAAACAAACGTCCATCTCATTCGTCAATCCAAACATTTTTTTTAAAAAAATACCTCTTTTTCATGTATACTAAATAGCGTAATCTAAGGTCTAAATGCCTAGACATTACAGTTGACCTGATAAATATTTATGAGCGTCTTTAAATTTAGACATTTCATTTCGAAGATGCTATATGACGTAATCTAAGATCTAACAGTTAAACTTTTCAGTTAACCTGATCGATATTTATGAACGTTCTTAAATTTAAAAATATCGAGTAACTGTCAAATAGATACTTGTTACAAAAGAAAATCATTACATTTGACTTGATAAAGTCCATTGAACGAGGAAAGGCGTCGACTAAGACTAAGTATTGTTTTACTCTTGTCTTTTTATTCATTTTGTTTCTTCCACAGATATATCCCAACTGAGAATATATATATATATATATATATATATATATATATATATATATATATATATATATATTATTATTATTATTATTATTATTATTTTTCTTAAGTTTGGCAATGGTTCAGCTTTGGAAAACAAATAATAAATCAGTAAGTTAATCTGCCCGGCTGCAGCCAGTTATAATTGGTAGATATTTTTTCCTTTTCTTCACGTTTATAATGCCACACAGCACGTTTTTTAATCGTACACGAGTGTGATAAATTCATATATTGGATGATAATGCGCGCATGTCATGCAAAGATAAGGAAGCAAAGTAAACTAAGCCGACAAAGATCACGGATAAGTTTTTGGTGTCTCTAATAAAGGAAAAGAGAATATTACCGTGGTGATACATATTATTTATTCCGAGTACTTTCGACATTAGCACAATGTCATCATCATGGTGTTGTTTCTTTCAAGACAAATATTGTAGGGTTCATCATTTTCAAAGACAAAATTGCTCTGTTCATCTTAAAGTTAAAATTTTTACAAGTGATGTGAAGAGCACTGAGTTTAGTGCGATTAGCCTGAGTAACGCTTCAACGGTAGTACGTTATGAGGTTGTCGATTTTAAAAAAAAAACCTTTCCACAAATTCTTTGAAAATAGATAAAAGACACTTATACAATGAACATGTTTCAATGAAAACATGCTGCCAAAATATATATACCACAGGTAAGAATTTTAATACATATATAGGGTTATTGATAAGTAACTCCCCATTTTAAAATACTTATTTATTATCTATAACTCTTAGAAGGAATAGATATGAGAGGAAAGAGTTTAGCATGAGATTTTATTTACCATTTCTCTACCAGATTCACGAGCCGCGCAGGAATTGCGTCAATTGATTTCACCCGAAAATCTTGTGCTATGGAAGACAGAACTTCTTGTATTCGCCCTTCAAGTCTTGGTTTGGTATGATATACTTTCTCCTTTAACCAACCCTCACGCCAAAAAAAAAAAATCACATCATGTTAAGCCATGATTTTGGAAGTTATTTTCAATCACCCTATATATATATATATATATATATATATATATATATATATATATATATATATATATATATATATATATATATATATATATATATATATATATGTGTGTGTGTATATATATATATATATATATATATATATATATATATATATATATATATATATATATATATATATATATATATATATATATATATATATATATATATATATATATATATATATATATATATATATATATATATATATATATATATATACATATATATATATATATACATATATATATATATATATATATATACATATATATATATATACATATATATATATACATATATATATATATATATATATATATATATATATATATATATATATATATATATACATATATATATAACATATACAAATATATAAAACATATATATATATAAATCATATATATATATATACATATACATATATATATATATTAATAAGAACAAATAGAAAACATTAATAAATCACATGTAAGTTCATTTATTATCTGACCATATCTGGACCATTACTTGCCACGTCACATTGAACACCGATTCCCGTATGATCACCGAAGTTAAGCACCGTCGAGCTTGGTCAGTACCTACATGGTTGACCGCTTGGTATAACCAGATGATTGGATGAGCGAATGCTGAAATGGAGAATTAGTTGGGTTCGTTAACATTCACTTACACGCAAGTATCCTCCCGAAAAGTAGAAATCCACTTATTCTCACCCAGAAGTGGGTTAATTAGCAAGACTTGTATCACTAAAGCCATAGTATCCCTAAAATAATAAACTAACATAAAACTGTGTACAAAATATTTAGATTCCGTTATTACATAATCGAGAGCTTGATATGCCGCTAAAGAAAAAAAAACAACCAACCAAACTGTCATTCTGTCAGATTCTCATTAATTTTATTCTATATTTGATATCCATTCATATATATATATAGATATAGATATATGATGTGTGTGTGTTTTGTGTGTGTGTGTGTGTGTGTGTGTGTGTGTGTGTGTGTAATGGAATGGACTTTCTCCCGTTGGTTTCGACGTATGCAGTTCTGAAAACGTAACCAATTGATTCATTTATGCATTTTATGCAATAATTTTAAGTGGCACATAAGACCCGCAAGCAATTTGCAAAGAAGGCCGCATATGAAGCGAGGATTTTGGGATGAGTTCACTTTTAGATTGGCTGACCTTTTAGATCCTTCTCTCGCTTTTTGAAGACGATTCAGATTAGCATATTCAAAACCGCTGAGTCCACTAAAACACACTTATCTCCATTCTACCTGATCCAAGGCTAAGCGTTTTGATATATATATATATATATATATATATATATATATATATATATATATATATAGTGTGAGAAGGGTAAATTGTCAATATATATATATATATATATATTTTCCTTTCGCTCATGTGCGTTGTTTGTTTAGCATTTTGTCGACATTTTGTTACTAATTCTAATAGTAGTTGGACACAGTCTGTGAATAAAAGACCAACCTGGCGCAATACTCACCGACAGATTTTTTTTTTTATCGTTTCACTCCAAGCAAGGCGGGAGTGCCACTAGTATACATTGAGTTACAGAGAGTAAAATTGAGAGAAAATACTGGAGGCCTGCATCAAGTGACTTGAGGAGTTAGTGCTGCTCTGGGCGTAGAGGGTGACTGTTCGAAGACCCTATGTCTAGCAACAGGACTCTGCACCATGTCACACAAGCAGGATAACCATATCTTGGCTGTCTGACAATCATCTGCAGGCGCATCACCCCTTATATCTGGCCACCTAACTCTCCAGACTGCAACACCCTTCATTGTTATGTGTGGGACGCAGTTGAGCGAGAGACAAACAACACTCCTTGTAATAGCAAAGATGAACTGAAGGCAAGGATTATGGCAGCATTCGCCAACTTAAACAAGAAGGCTATCCATAACAGTCGCAGGAGATTGCCGGGGTTAAAGTCAATGGCGATTTTATTGAATAAATGGGCTCTTTATTATTTCAAGTTATTTTTGTGTGATTGATGTTAGCTTTGTTTTCATTTTTGCGTAATTTAGACGAGAATTTATCCATCCACCCTGTATATAGTATAAGTATTTTTATATATATCCTACACGGATAAATACAGGAAAAGCCTATTGAAAATGCAACTTGAGTCATTAAGAATATTTATTTAATGTAACATGTAATGTTATTTAATGTAACATGTAATGTTATTTAATGTAACATGTAATGTTATTTAATGTAACATTACCGGTTTCACAATTCTGATTTTCAAATGTTAAATTGAGATGTAGAGACTTGTGGCTATGCCCTGATCAGTTTCGCATCCGGGTGGAATTGGAGAAATTTTTCCGTTTTATGCTGAAGAAATGTAGTTCCAATTGCGATATGTTTAAAATGCAGTGTGATTGGTTGAGTATGATCACGTGGTCAGGCATACTAAATTTTTTTCGCCAAAATTCGGTAACCATAAGGTTTTGTTGTCAACATTTGGAAGTATTATAGTTCAGTGAACATTAGCTAATGATCGCAAAGTATCAAGTAGTTCATGGCAATAAAGTGTTACTTGGTTCATTAGAACAAAGCGTTAAGTGTCAGGGATTCAGTAAATCAACCTTCATAGCAATCCCAAAAGTTTCAATGAATAAAGATTGTGTGTGTGTGTGTGTGTGTGTGTGTGTGAGAATAGTTTTACTTTGTTGAAATTTGGAGGATAGTGAAGAAAAACGATAATAGTAATAATAA